GATAAATATAAAACCACCCTAGTTAAGGATCAAATAAAGAACCGTTTTAATGAGGTGAGGTGATCTTTGCTTCCTTTTTCACAAATACTGACCTTGCATGTCCACCTAATTCCAGGCCAAAAAGCAATACACCATTGTACATAAACTTCGATCAACTTCAGGTGTTGGTTGGAATGAAGAAACCAACATGATTGAGGTCGAACCAGATTTCAGCTGGCCAAGCTATGCTGAAGTAACTCTTCCTGTTCTAGTTCCTTTTCTGATCATCTTGCCAATTGAACTGATGTATGTTGTATCAATTTGTTAAACCCAACCAATACCAGCGTAACCAGGGTGCATTAGTATACAGAGATAAACCATTCCCCTTATATAACACCATGAGCGAACTAGTGGGTGATACTAACTTGGCAGTTACTGGGATTCGCGCTACTGGACCAAGTTCAAAGAAACTTCGAGCAAAGCAAGACCACCTCACTGCGGAGGAGTTGGCCCTTGATGATTCTGACAAAGAGGAACTTCGGGAAAAAGAAGATCATGTCAGAGGAGCAGAGATGATAATTGATGATTCTGACGAGGAAGGTCTTCCTTTGTTTGACCCTCACAGCACCAAGCCTATTGGTAAGTTGTCTGAATTCGTAATCTGTTCTTTCTCTTTCAACTTACATAATCTTTATTATCACAAAAGATCAACCTGAGACTATCATCGAGCAAGATGAAGATCGAATTTCCAGTCCCGATGCGACCTCCAAGATCAAGGGTAAATCTCCTCAGTATCCGAAATCCACTCAGATCCCTGCTCACGATCCTCCTAGCCAATCCAAACCCAAGGTTGGTCCTCGCACCCGTCCAGCCAGCAAAGCCAATATTGCAACTGCTCTCAATAACGCCGCTAGTCATGGCCAAGCCCGGATGAACAGTGCATTACAGCGTGAGAAGATCCGTGCCAGATCATCAGCTGCTCATGATGCTCGCAAGGCCACCCGTGCTCAAGAAGCAGCCCGACTCGAGCAAGAATCTTTAGCCCTCAAGCAATCTGCAACTCCTTCGTTAAAACAAGCCATGGAGATTTTTAAAGCAGATGCCACAATCCAATCACAAGATGACAAGAGTCGACTTGCGGGCTCAAAAGTCTTACGCACCGAAGATAATTGTGCATTCTTCATTCAATTAGAAGACAAGCTACGTTGGCCCTGGATTTTAGAAGAGATCGAACTTTCCACTCAGAAATGATTGATTGAATTACCATCGTTTCTCATCAATTTCAAGTAGAACCATCTTTGAAATCAAACGTGTATGTTCAATCAAACTTTTGACTCAGAAATGGTTTATCGCCTTCAACCTTTGTTTCTCATCGATTACAAGTAGAACAATCAGATCAACATGCATCTTCTTCAATCTTTCACTTCATTCTGATCAACAACGAGAAATTCTGACTTTTTATGATTACAAGTATGTAGCATGATCGGTCTTGTGCCTCATCATTCTTTCTATGTGTATCTTCTCAGATCTCGTTATATTTTTGTCATTTTTATCTCATTGAATCTTTTACTCTGGTTGTTCTTTTAATCGCTTCCACTTTTACTCTGGTTGTTCTTTTAATTGCTTCCACTTTTACTCTGGTTGTTCTTTTAATTGCTTCCAGTTATCTAGCATGATCAGCATGATCATCTCAATTTGTATGTTGTTATCAAGCAAATCAAATCTTATTTGTCAATCTGAACTGATCACTTATTTACTTAAACGAGTAAAAATATCAACAAAAACGCACTCAAACATAGAAAAAGTGAGGCGAACAAAAACGAACTCAAACATAAAAAAAGTGAAGCAAAGGCTTTAGTCATGTGATTAATCTGAATTGATCACTTATTTACTTAAACGAGTAAAAATATCAACAAAAACAAACTCAAACATTAAAAAAGTGAAGCGAACAAAAACGAACTCAAACATAAAAAAAGTGAAGCGAAGGCTTTAGTCATGTGATTTACATCTCTCAGATAAGGGTTTCATCTTTAAGAATAAAGTTGCCTCAAAAGGAAAGGGTTGAAGCGATGAGATTAAAAAGAAAAAAACAAGAAGCTTGGGATTTGATTGTAAGTAGAGATAAAGATAAAGACCATCATATATGACTAAGAATGTCTATCTAATCACTTAAACTGAGCTTCTGCTAAGAAAGCTAAACGGTCTGCAAATAACAATAAAAATGAGGTTTTGTTGAAAAAACAGAAAGAAAGGTGTGATAGCTTGTGAAAGGGTTGGAACGGTGAATTTAATGCAATGTCTGATGGAAGATGAGTTTAAAAAAATGAAAAACTAAGTCAATTTGATTGTATTGATTGTAAAAATGCTGAACGATGAGGTTGAGCACTTGAAAGGCTATGGATGATGAGCTAAATAGTCATCCCACATTGCCATAGCCAAACGGTCTCTTGCATCCTTTGCTTGAGTTCGGACTTGATCAGTGGCAGTCCGATATAAATTTGTGTTTGCCGCTAGCCAGGCTCGATCGTTCTCCAAATTCTCCACATCGTATTCATCAAAAAACCAGTCTTCGCCTCGGGTTTTGATAATGTTATGAAGAGTACAGAGAGCAATTACTAGTGATGGTTGTGACTCGATAGGATATGAGTGCATATCAGCAAGTATCTTAAATCGCTTTTTGTTCACGCCTAATAACCTTTCAATGACATTTCGTAGAGAAGAATGTCGAAGGTTGAATAGCTCTTTGTAGTCTTGAGGACCCTGGCGGCCTTGAGCCCATTCTTTTAGGTGATATCTTACCCCACGATACGGAGCCAAGAAACCAGGCTTGTTTGCGTACCCAGCATCAGCTAGATAGTATCGGTCTTAAAGAGCAGAAACAGTCAGTTGGTACTCGAATCATGATCAAGAACAATACTGACCTGGTGGAACTACAAAGTGACCTTCCCGCCTTGCCACTTCAAGCACTCGAGCATCAGCTGCTGAGTCCTTTGCAACCAGCGAGGACAAAGTTGAAGGTCATGTTAAATGAGCAGCCTGCCAAAGAACCATTTTTGGCTAGAGAAATCCCTTTCGATTTCGGTATAAATTCTTCTTCATTTGATGGAACCAAATAGCTTGGATATGTGTTCCATCAATGGGCTACCCAATGCATACCTTCAAACCACGGAAAGCGTTTGGGGTCAGAAGAGATCTGAGGAGGGCAAGGTGCGTTAGTGACCTGGTTGAGTGATGAATTCGCTGGAGAGGTTGTCCAACACATGTCGAACAATATTGAAGTATCGACTGACTGTGTCTCCGGAGTGCTGAAACCGTTCTGAAACCATTCGATTGGTCGCACCATTTCCTACAGTGTAGAGGAACATCATGACTTGTTCGCGTGCCAAGACATGGATGGTGTCTTCGAGGTATGGATTCAAGATATCCATCAGGTTCAAGAAGGTGCGTTTGTCCATCCGGCACACTTCACCAAAACGGACTGGGCTTCCATTGAACACCTCCTGACAATATGCTGATCCAGTGAGTGCTGAAGTTCGACAAGGGATTTTGGGACGAAGGCTGCTGGCAAGCTCTTCTACAGCAGCCTGGATGAGATCATCAAGCTCTGACTCCGAATCAGAAGATGTGAAGGCTTCAGATTCAGAACTCGAAATCAAAGGTGAGGTGTCTGTGGAAGAAATGGTGGAAGAATCGTTGCCAGAAGTTGTGAGATCATCCTCCATTGCGTCTGGAGGTGAGTCGATATCCGACATTGTGTGTTGTATATATGGACAGATTTTGGTCAAACAGGATATGGATAGTACATGAGATTTCAAGGATAATATGTAGTATTGAAGCTCTGTTTCAAATAATGTAGTATCAACAGGCATACTACATTATGATTCTTGATACTGTAGTATAAATAAACGCTACCGAACGGGCCCTTAAGTTCTGCCTTGTGTGAGAAAAGACCATAGCAGTGTGAAGCGGTTTCTACATGTGCACTGCTTTAGAAACTCATAGTGCCTCACAAACAAAAGTGTAGCAATTTGGCCTTTTTGCATAGCACCAAATCATTATGCTTGTGAAATTAGGAGATATAGAGTGTCAATGGTTGTGTTGGTTGAACAAGGAGGCAGAAGATGGTTGAGAGGAGTGAGGGGCCAGGCCATTCAAAGCTGTTAGGATTGGGGTGAGGGAAGGGGTTGGTATGGTGGTCGGGTATCTTTTGGGTGCCTTCAAAGGGGTGGTCATGGTGGAATAGCCACCATTTGAGGAAGGGGTATTTGGAACTGGTCCGCAAACGACACTTGGGTTCCTACTTCTTGGAAACAATGGAGATCTTACACTTGAGTGGTAATATTTACAAGAAACCGTCGTTCCTTTGGGTTTCTGTAGCATAGAGCCTCTTTGATATGGTTCTTTTGTTTTTCTCTTGTTTTTTCCTATCTTCCTCTCTTTGTGTTTGCTCCTCCTTTTCTCTCAGGTTTCAAATAAAACACCAAAGATTCGTCATCCGCCGGAATTCGCAGTAGTCAAAGATTATCAAGTTGTCTTGGTTCAGGTTTGTCTCACGCTTGTTTGTTGGCTTTGTCAAGCAGAATGGTGCATCACTGCAGGTTATTGCTCCGCGAGCCACCAGCGATCCAGTGGATCACCACTTGAAGCATCTCAGGTCACCACAGATATCGCAGAGTGATTTTCTTGTCTCAACCTGGTTACGACGGACTGTCGTCTCCCCATCTCGCTTGAGGCACAAACTACCCCGGAAGAAAGAAACCAGTGCAACACAAACTGGTGGCATATCAGTTGCTTCGTTTTCCTGCTGATCGGTTGCACTTTGATTTTCAACATACAGAGTAGCTTCAACCTTTCGCCTTTGTTCTCCACAACTGTACGTCTTGCGCTAACAAAGATTTCCTCATCACCACCTTCTCCTATCTTCTCCTTTTGTTAAGTTCAGTTGAACAAGGCTTGGTGCGTGGGCTTGACAATGCGCCCTTTTTCTCTGCTACGGTTACCCTCCGCATCATGTAGTGAATTTACCAATGCTGCATATGTATACGCTTATATCTACTTCCTTTCTCGATCTGAATAGCCAGTTTGCTTGGTAAATCTTATCCTTAGTCCTGGTTCGATTCCTTCGGTTAAGTTCCCTATCAAGCTTGAGCTGGACTCATATACTACCGATAACCTTAACATCGTTTATTTCGATATCAACACTGGATACCGATCATCGCAAGAACAATACGGCCAAGTCTGTACATGATCGATGGGTGTCTTCGGTGGATTATCAAGGATACTGAATCGGCCAAAGATCACTTTTCAGATTTTTTGGGTCCTCCTTCATGTTGCGATTTTTGCCTACGGATGGTGGTTACAAGCCGCAGATGATCGATTGGCGATTCTTAATTTGTTGAAGTATTCGGTTTGGTCATCTCGTGGAGCTGGACTCTGTCTAGGTCTTGATGGATTTTTGCTCTTCTTACCTGGTGAGCTAACCTCTGACTTCTACTTAAAATTTCATATCATTTTCTATCTTAACTCTTCTCCAATTTGCCTCTACCATTCCAAGGGTGACGAAAAGAAATTGAACTTGTCTTGCATTCGGCTTGGCCCGCCACAGTATGTCGGAATTGGATTACCTATTTGCGACCTCAACTAAGATGGCTCATTTCTTTTGACGAGTATGTACACCATGAACTTCAGAATCAATGACTTATTTGGATTGGCCTGTCAATTGATATTCTTCTTCGATTTCCTCAGTAATATTTGGTTTCATCGTCAAGTCGCCTACACGACATTATTTTTTACAATGTGACTCTTGTTTTGATCTTCCAGGTTCACGTCTGTTCAGGATAAGATCACTCATGTTGTCTTGTTGCATACTTTCTTCATCTGGTATTGTAGCATCCACACTACTGCACATTATGTCAATATGTATGGGGTAGAGACAACGCAGGTACGGCCAAACACAGCGATCGGGATCATGTACACCCAACCAGGTGGATTAACTGGACATTTGATGTTGCTAATCATGGTTCTCATGTACACGACCGCGGTATGTTCAGACTGTAGTGATGAAGGAATCCTCAACCTAAACATGGACGTGAAACTTATCTGGCTATGCATCTTGATCATTCTGTACAATCCTGGGGTCAACACAACAGCATCATAAAATTCGCGCTCAGTGCTTCGAGGCCTTCTGGTACACGCATCACTTGGCATTCTTCTGGGCGGTAAGCGTTTTCTCTTTGAAGTGGTCTGAAGACTCAATATTCATGATGTTTGTTATTTCTCAGCTTGGACTTTATTTGCATGCTACTGGTTGCTTTGTACGGGGCGCTTCACCAGGAAAGAAAGTGGAATGCATTCAATACAACTCTGTATATCTTACGGTCTGGAGTGGAATTGCCTACTTTTGTGATCGACTGTGGCGTGAATTGAGAGGTCGAAAACCAGCTGAGATCATCGCAGTCCTAGTTCATCCTTCTGGAGCCATAGAGATTCGATTACGGAAACCTGGATTGAAATATGTATCTGGACAATGGCTCTTTCTTCAAGTTCCTGACATCTCCAGTTTTCAATGGCATCCATTCACGATCTCTAGTGCACCCGACGATCCATTCGTATCGATCCACGTTCGGCAAGTCGGAGATTTTACTCGAGCTCTAGGAGAACGGCTTGGAGTGACCCAGGCGCTTACCGCTAATCTAAGTGGAAAGGGTCGGACGGAATTTGTAGACATCACTGGAGTAGGAGATGCAGCTCACTTGCCATACGTTCGGATCGATGGTCCTTATGGGGCACCAGCACAAGACGTATTTTCATGTGATGTGGCTATACTTATAGGTGCTGGGATCGGAGTAACTCCCTTTTCAAGCATCTTGAAAAACATCTAGTTCGTCGGATCATTTTCTCATTTCCATTGAGCCCGTTCATCAATTTAATGATTATCTATGTTTTTCAGCTATATGCAGCAACAAGGTAAATTAGGGTCATTGAGAAGAGTACAATTCATTTGGCTGAACAAGGTGGGTTCAACAGCTGCATTTTGAATGATATTTTCAGCATGATGTATATGTTGATTCTGAATCGGGTGGTTGATAAATCCCAATAGGACGTAGCTGCCTTCGGTTGGTTTCAAGCGCTTTTGAGACGACTTGAGGAGATGCAGACCGATGAAACATTCTTATCCATGTCAATGTACTTGACCGGAAGTGTGGATGTAGACCTGATCACGAATGTGTCTATCAATGATCCAATCGCCTCGGTTGATCCACTTACCGGTTTAAAGACTCGAACACACTTTGGTCGGCCTAAGTGGGGTCAAGAGGTCTTTGAGCCTGTTCGCAGGTATGTTCAGTCTGATGCGTGGTATGGGGCCGAAGCATCTCTGAAAACGAAGATTGGAGTATTTTATTGTAAGTTGAAGAATCTCTATTTGATCTCAATCTACTGTCCTTGAATTTGGTTCTCTAAATCTCACATCCTGGTATTATCTATCATCATTTGGGCAGGTGGACCAAGTCCTTTAGCAAAAACGTTGAGAAAAGAGTGTCTGAATCATACCAGCAAAGATGTACAATTCGAATTCTATAAAGAAAACTGTAAGTCGATTTCTTTCCTCTGATTTCCCGACTTGTGTGGGTGAACATTCCAGATGTGTGAACATTCCAGATGTCCATGGGTGGATTGATGGCCGGACTGACTTCTGATTGCTTTCTGCTTGTGTGCGCGAAACAGTCTAGTCACACATACTATAGCAACATGAAGAAATGTAACCAGTTGTTAACTGAGTGGACTGTTGTTGTAACTAAAACACTATTATGCATTGTTATGATCCTTTATACCATGAATTTTGGATGAGTTTCAAATGATGCAATTCACTTTGGGTCAAATGCAAGATGTTCATACAAACATTCAGCAAACTAATCATAATCTTCATCTTGGGGTCTGTGATACAAGATTCAAATCCACTTCAGATAAATGCATTTATTGCAAGATGATGGTATGTCATCCCTTTTGTTCTCTTGCTCCCATGGAGCCCATGGACTTCTTTGTTGCTAGTCATAGTACTACTTTTTGTGTGGACAATTCCTTTCTGTTAGTCTCTTCTCTTTTGCAATAGAAGATCAGACTATAACTCCCTTGCCCCATCTATGATAAAGAATGTGCATCTAATAAGCATCGATTTCATCACCGGTGGATTTCATAAAGCGGAGTAATTTTGGTGTGTCTTAAATTTTGTCTTTCCCTTGTGAGGTTATCATAAAAATGGAATGGGCCATGGGGTACTCTGATGTTGATTGGAGTCTGAGATGGGACTGTGACACTACAGAACTGCATACCTGATATTTTTCACTCATGCTATGCTACATCTCAAATCACAAAAGCACTTTTCTATCTTGTATAGTGCATCACATCAAGACTGGTAGAACACCGGATCTTTTCTTTTGGTTTTTGTGCGGGGCTGGGCCGAATCTCAAATTTCTGACAGAGATGATTTATGCCTGGGATATGGCTTGGCAATCCATTGTGAAGAAAGATGATGTAGACGACAAAAGGACGTCCACTTAGAAGGATTGACTTGAATCTTTTCATCCAAGTAAGATATTTCCCATCTTTCCTCCGACCCAAGAAAAGAAACTCAAATATTGACCGATTGAAATCTCGCAAGGTAATCTCTAATGAGATGATTGTTCAAAAACATTGGACTTCATGGTTTTTAGCGTGACGATTAAACCCTTTTGTGATCTCAAACAATTAGTCAGAGAATATAAATAATCATCTCTTTCATTTGACCTTCAACCTTCAAACCTTCTCCCAGATCTTCACCCTTTTCCTATATCATATTCATCTTTGGCCGACCTCCGAGGTCTTCACCAGCAAACGTATTGTATCTTGGAGTTTTAACTGCATAGCCTCTGGCCAACATCCCCCGTAAAACTTGAGTGGTTTGATGGGGTACTTCGGTGAAAGAACTCTCCTTTTCAATTCATGGTTCCTGCAGTTACTCTTTATGAAATTGTGAAAATGATGTTTCTTGTTGAATCGACGTCCACATGCTGTGAGCCTGTGATCAAGGATATTTTGATGTTTGACTCTACAACCCCAATCAATAGCTTGTTGTCTTTACGAACCGAGATATAATCCTTAGTTCATCATCCATCATTTTTATCAAATCTTCTTGTTCCTCAATTCTATTCATCCTCAAGTCCTCCCAGTGAGCCATCCACTTGACAACTCTACATATCATCGCCTTTCATTCCTACAGAATTTCTTTTGTTTCTCTCTATGCGTCTTACCCCAAGCCAGTAAATTCGGATCGATCTATTTCACTCGCAGATTGACCGCAATCTGTACAAGTACATATGTCAAAGAGTTTCCGTTAGGTGTATGTATGTATGTATGTATGCACAAAAATCCTTCTGTTGACCATTTACGCGATTGATCACACGTCGATCTTAACTTTCCACAGCAATCCATGTTGACATGAGTGACCTTACAAATCCAAAATGTCGTATATAAATGCTACACTTTTCGACTTTGAGTGGGTTGAATTGGATCAAGTATAAACCCTGAAAGCTCAATCAGGTGGATATCTCAATTTCATCAGGTTTGAGCTCTCTCTCTTACTAAACGAATCTTAACTTTCTTACTCATGAGTCATAGCTTGATGACGATGAAGGATTATCAGTTTGATAACAAATCTTCCAGATTGGAATTTCCATGATTCATTAGAACATGCCATCTCCTAAGCTGGATGACCCAAAGAATTTCGCTCCTAGATGAGATGAGCGTGATGAGCTGAGGATGGTTACCCTCTATAGAGTTGAAGGATGTTCGAAATCTTAGCGTGATGAGAAAAGCGTGTCGGTTGTGGGCATGAGAAGAAAGAGCGGAATTGCAGAAGTGGGGAAAAGAAAGTCAGAGGATGGGAAAAAGTTGAAGTATATTCAACTCGGACTGAGATTGATTGAGTATGTTGTACAACCTACAAACCACCAAACCAGTACCACCTTGAAGCTATGCCATCGATGAAATCCAAAAAAAAACTCGCCGTTCTATTCTTGGTGTATTCGAATAAAATTCACTAGAGTTGATCATGAAAAAGTGATTGAAATTAGAAATCTCGATTGGTAACCTTCCTACAGTCAAACCGGAAAAGCTTGACCGATTTTGCCCGCAAAACTCGAGCAAATTGGCGGGGAATTGGTGGCAAGCTTTTCCGGTTTGACTGTACAAAGAAAAAAATATATATAACTGTGTAGAATCAAAGACCAACAAGTTAAGAATCTTAAGCCAAATCCCACTTTTCTTTCTCATCCGCGAGCTCGTAACTTTATAAGTACTTGCTATCTATTTCGAATCCTTTTCCATTCTCCCTTTTTTTCCCCCGCCTTCAGGATCTACATAAGAAATTTTATTTTTCACCTTATCATTTGACTACATAATAATTCTTCGAAGACCATCGTACAACCCTACAACCATTGTATCAGAGTTACACTTTCGGTTATTATACCTACATAATTTCCTCCGTACCACCTCATACACACCCTTTGGAAATACCCAACGGAAGAATTGTAGGAGCTTTACTTAGTTTTTGTTGTAGTGAATTCACTTCACACCCTTTTGACATTTCCCTCCATCCTTATCTCGGTCTGGCACTGTATTCTTTTAAACAATAATCTGCTCTATCTTTTGACGACTATATATCTTCCTCGAGACCTCGTGCTTTTCTCATCAATCCTATCTCATCGTCTTGAACTCTTAATCCTTCGTCTGATTGACTATGTCATCATCAAACATGACTGATTTGAACTCTGTTGGACGAATCACAAGTCGGGAAGACACCAAGGTATGCAATTTTGCTTTGATTCATGTTACAATTTCCTTCCTTTCCCAATCTTCTTCAAACTTGCTACTCTTCCTATCGCCCTATATTCGCGTCTCTCTTTTCAAATTGACCTCATTTTTGTGAGAAGATTTCAACTTATCATTTTGTTATGATCTTTTTTTCCATCTTGCTTTTTGCTTTCCATCAATGATGCATCAGCTTCGAGCTCCAGCTAGTCGTACCTTTCTTAGTGAAGGTTTTCGAAAGCTGCGAGGGAAACCAAGTCGTGACTCTCCTCTCTGTCATACCAACTCTTCTTCTCAGTCTAGTTGTTCTCTGTCGCATTTGAACCTAGACCCCGACCCTACCGAATCATCTTTAATTCTCTTATCTAGACCTGAATCAATACAAGTTCCTGACTCTGGTCCTCTACCTACTTATCTGGCTCAGCTAAGCGGCATCCATTACGTACGAGATCCTAATCAGGATCCTGACTTAGACGCAGATAGTATGTTGGACGACGCACAATCTATCGCCGAATCCGAAATCTCTATGGCTTCTCCTTCCGAAGATCCTACCACCAGTGTCTTACCTATATTGGACGGCGGGCTTGGTGAATCAAATGGTCCAAGCGAAAGCGAGTGCTCGTCTTATTCCACTCGGTCCCCGGCTCAACATGAGCTATTAGACATCTCTCCCGCGAACGTCATGAATCAGAGTCGACTTTCACCCCGCACCTGTAAAGCTGCATTTCCTCCGATCGACCTTGAATCGCCATATGCCCCTCATGCCCCTACACCACCTCTTTCTCCACCTTCGATACCTGACGTGGAGGAAACTATCCACAGGTCTAGATTCATACCTAAAACCCTTCGAAAACTACCATCGACTGCTTCAATGTTTCGAAAGGAAGGATCGGGTCACCGAACTCAACGTTCTCTCCAGAGTATCGATTCCTTTGTACCTCGCTCACAAGGATCATCTATTGATGTTGAGGGTAAAAGTTTTGACTTGCAAGCTCCTAGTCTATTGAACCCAACACGAGTTCGGACTCAATCTCGTTGTAGCGCAACCTCGGGTTATTCTTATGCTTCAACCAATAGTCTAAATGGATTCAAACGTCACTTTAGATTCGGTTCACAACAACATTGTCCACAACCTCAAACCCCAATACCCACAACAAGCTCAAAAGACCAACAAACCCCAAATGCAAATCGAACAATAAGTTCTACATCAAAAGGTTTAAATACTATTCTAGCACCAATCAGTAGAATGAGAACTTATGCTTCACTTAACAATATCTTTAAAGTTCGTAATTCACATGCCACTGTTACACCTTCACCATTACATTCAACAAGCAATTCACCAGTACTTGATAGTCATTCTGCTTTACTTTCACCTGATTCGGGTTATGAAATCCTTGATCCAATGCTCACTGATCTTGCTTCACCTAAATCTTCTTCTTGATCTTCATCATAAATTATCTTGTATCATACCTTTTTTTTTTGTTACATTTTTCTATTTTGATTTTTTTTTACTGTTTTCATTCCTTTTTTGACAATTGAAAAATCTGTATCGTGTTTAATTTTTTTTTCTTATAAATCATTGATTATTTTGTTTTGATTGTTCTTTTTTTCGGTTCTTCCATACACTCATTCTATTCAAAAAATTGAGGTTGGTTACATGTTAAATTAGTTTGTCCTTTGATTTCTTTGATTCTTTTTTCGACTAGATAAACTTTAGTTGAAATGGTCAATCAATTTAATCTTATCTATATAAAAAAATCTCATCAATGTGTTAATGATTTCTTTTGAATTTCTTTCTATATTTTTCTTGTTTTTTTCTGTTGTTTTTTTCATTTGACTTGATGTTTATAGAATGTGTATAGCATATTAGTTTTTTTTATTATCTTACATTTCTTGAAAATTTAAAAACTCAAAAACTCATTTTGACTTCTGTTTTTATGTCTTGTTGGACTCTTGAATGGTGTTTCAATTATTGATCAGCTTTTGTCAAAAATATGCTCAGCTTACTGATAGTCTTGGGACACGATAAAAGAAAAATCACATAATTTCAATGTTATTTGTTATTCAAAATTTTGGGAGGAACTCAGATGGAAAATTGGTACGAAGGATCTGCTGTAAAAAGTCTCCTCAATACATAGTTGATGTTCAAATAAGTCTGCATACATTCACAAATAGCATGATGAAATTTCAAATCATGACAATCCCTGTATTGTTTAATTTGTACCATTATCTGTCTTGATGGTATTGAGAAAATTCACAGGGAAAATAGGGATTATAATGCCTCTGCAACTTTTCCTGTTGAGTTTGCCATCTCTGATTCTTTCAGGGCCATGGCCAATGGCCACACTTGTTGAAATATTATTAAGACTGGTATGTAAACGGGATTGAGTTAAGATTGGGTTCTGGGCTTGGTTTCTTTCTTAGTTACTTTATTTTTTTCTTTATTCTTATTGTTATTGTCTAAGAGTTGTTTTTGTGTATTGTGTCTAAAGTTCATCTTTCCCAACAGATGTTGATGAACATCATTCCCAATGTGTTGAACAAATTGTTTAGTGATACAGTGCCTGCCACTGAAAGCCTGTAACGTGCTTCCCTGCAAACAAATTTTTACATTTCAGATGCTATGTTTGTTGTCTACATATATATAGAATCAAATATCATTGACATACATAGGTGGATTGGGCCATTGAAGCAGAATCTAGGCATGTAAGGATTAAGCCATAGCATATTTTTTTGCCTTGCCCCTTGGAATGGGACCTCATGTTACATGTGACTAGGGCTGTGACCCGGCCCTGAGAGTTCGTGGCCGGCCCCGGGGCCAAGCCCGACCCTGGGTAGACCCGAGGTCCCCTGGAAACTTCTCAGGGCCGACCAGGGCCTGCCCGAATCTCAGGCCTTAGGTGTCCAGGCAGGGCCGGGCCCAGATTTACGAGTAAAAAACCCTTGGAAAGGGAAAATTTTTATATTATTTTTGGCGAAAACAGGATCGGGCAGACGGCCGGGCCGGGCGCCCGGGGCGCCCGCAGGGCTTTGCACCCTATTCTGATTAGGTTTCAGAGCCCCGAGGCCGGGACCGCCAGCGTTAAAAATATCGCCGGGCACCTTCGGCCGGGCAGGGCCGGGACCGGGTCACAGCCCTACATGTGACCCTATGTACACATTTTTTTTTAAAGTGCATTTTGGCATAATTGCATGTTACACTCTCTAATCAATTAATGAGTTTGGACTAGTCTACCTAAGAAACGGTCATCTAATCGGCTACAACGAACCCTATGTACATAGTCAAGTACTTAATGTATGTAGTTAATAGGGCTGCGACCCGGACCCGGCCTCTCCCGGCCGGCTCTGCCCGAGCAATCTCAGGGCGCTCACAGTACTCGCCCCGGGGCCGCCAAGCCTAGCATGCTGATGATCACAAGCGCGCCCTGAGGGTGCTTTGGGCGGGTCGGTCGGGTCGGGCGGGTCGGGCACCGGGGCTGCTGATCATTTTCCTTCAAAAAATCCCACGGTAAGTCACTCTTTTACAATTTTGTCAAATGAAATAATGACTCTCTGAGTGGTTTTTGTGGCTAAAAACAGCCCCTGGCGCTGCCTGGCCCCAAGGCTTCAGACTCAGGGCATGCCCTGCCTGGCTCTGATCCATTTTGGAAGGCCTTTGGGCTTTGCCGAGACCAGGCTGCGCCCCGGGGCTGGCCCTGAAAGTCCAAGGCCGGGTCGCATCCCTAGTAGTTAAGTACTTAATGTATGTAGTTAAGTACTTAATGTATGTACTTAAGTACTTAGGGTATGTAGCAAGGTACTCAGCCTATGTAATTAGGCACATAGTATCTAACAGCACTAAAACAGCTCAAGGATACTTATGAATCCTCCTCACAGCATTTCCTTGCAGCATTTGCTGGAATTTGGCAATGAGGCTTATACTTTTTCACCAGCTTTTCCACATCACCGCAAGTGTATCCCAGGCTACAGAGATTCCCCCAGGTCAATATACAATGAGAGAGTGACAATGAAAGAAAAAGATAGCTTACTCATATGCAGAGTGAGTCCTATCAATCTTTCTGAAGAAGGTCCGGATTGTTGTTATGGAGCAATTCTTCCAAATTTCCTCAAATCATTCCTTTGATTGTGCAAATGGTGAGATTTTGAAATTACCTTGACAAAATTCTGTACAGAGAAGCTGGATTAATATAAATGGCAGAATGATGATAAGTTGGACTTTACCTTGTTTCATATAACACCAATACAACTCAATGGGGTTCAGCTCACAGTGAAATTTGGGAAGGAATAAACAAATGTGACCAGCTTCTTCAATCACCTTCTGAATCAGACATTTTTCTTTCAAGAAGTCGGACTGTAAGCTGAGAATCCTGAAGGCACAACAGCTTGAAGATTGGAAATGATCTTTAGTTCTTGTATGAGATTCTTTGTCTTCATCAATGAAATAACCCTGAGCTTCAGCCTCTCGTATCAATTGTTCAGATCTGATCTCTTGATATTGGCAAACAGCTGACTTTTTACACTCTTTGCATTTCCCTAAGAGGGGGCCATTACCATTCTGGACGGACTGCAAGCTGTAGAAGTCCCACAATCCACGCTCTTGAAGTACAGCTTTGATACCTTTTGGTTGGCTGGCGAGATCTTTATCTGGATGATCAGATGGATAGACCATTGATTGTGGTAAGCTTTGTTGCTCAGCTGGGATGTTTGGATCATCGGTTGGGATTATGGTATTGCAAAGCATATTTTGCTTACCACCAGGATTGAGATTCATGTTCTGAACACGTAGAGCTGAAGTTCCGTACGCCTGATGTGCTGAAGAACAGTCGAAGATGAAGACACCTTGTGATTTTGGGTGCAAGAGATTGAAGATTGGAATCGCTTGTTCTTGAAGTTGAGTTATTAACTGAGTCATATCCCACCAAGGATCACCCTTGGTCCCTGGGTAGATGACAACTGCTGCATCACAAGGTAGATCGTGAGTTTCAGAGTCGGGTAGAACAAGCCGTCCTGTAGTTTCAAGAATGAAGTCGGAGATGTGGATCAAACGGCCTGCGCTCTTAAATCTCAAGTCAGGTGTGTCAGGCAAGAGCCAGGCATGCTTGGGTTGTTTGTTTGCATGAACTGTAGATTCATCATGATATACAAATATTGTTTCAGTTGTACCTGTTTCAGGTGACCGACTTTGCTCCAGATTGTCACCAAAAAACTCAGAAGATCGAGCTCGCAGTTCAGCAACATCTGCAAGATACTTCTTGCGGTATTTTACAACGTCAGGACGTTCGTGACCATCGAAATAGATCGATTTCTTGAATGAACTCTTGGGGTTGGAGATTCATCCTGTACATCCATCAATAAGTTGTACGCTCAGATATCATCTGGTTGATTCCACAGTCGGGTAAAACTGTCTCATTGACATGACACCGGAAACTATGAGGAGTGACCTTTTCAAAGATTCATGAACAAGGTCACTTTCTAATTTGTCCCATAAATTCAGAGCACAAAAACAAACCTCTCCAGGCTTCTTTGTCACCAGCCACCGGTAAATTGACATCTCTACTTCTTTGTCATCTAAAGCTGATGCAGGTCTTGATGACTTACCAGTCGCTAATAAAGCTAGCTTGCCGTGGGTGATCAAGTTCTCAGCTTGTTGGCGAATTTTTCGTGCTCAACTGGTCCCTGTAGTAAACTTGGGCAATTTTGAGGGTGGTAGGCGGCGACAGGATGACTGAGCAGTGATGTAAGAAGCATTGACTGCAGGCAATTTTGTTTGACTAAGAGTAAGCTCAGGCCTTTGGGTGTTGAATTCACAAATCTCGTCAAGTATCAGGGATGGATAGGTAAACTTTGGATTGGCCAAGCGTTGTTTGATGTACAGTTCCATGGCCAATTTCAAAGCAACATTAAGCTTGTCAAACTTCTCATAGGATTTCTCCTCCCAAGTCAAACAAGTCTCAGCCTTGACATGTTTTGACCAATAGTTCTCTACGCGCTCATCAATCCAGGCATCAAAGTTGGGTGAAATCAGATTGTCCAAGCCCGAGTCTTCTTCAGCAGTCTGATCAATTTCTACAGAAGGTTGTTCTTTGGACGCTGACACAATTTGAGAATCAAGTTCTTCAGAACCATGGCTTATCAAGCTTTCATTCAGATCAGTTTGATAAGTCGGAGCTTTCACATTGGGATCAGTTTGATAAGTCGGAACTTCTACATTGTTGAATTCAGGATTTTTGGTTTGTACTAGCGAAAGAGATCTTGGAATAACAGAAGCCCAATTAGAGATCATGTTGATGTTGCCCCCAAGTGCCTTCTTTTGTTTTAAGAGACGGACATGCTTTGTCTGCTTAGGAACAGGTGCCGGGAGAAGTTTTTGACGTTTAGGACTTGGGTTTTCAATTGGTTTCCAATAACCCTTTGTGATTTGGCCGCTAGAATTCTTACGCTTATAATTTTGAATGGCTGGATACACAACTTTCAAGGTGAAGATTAGCCATGGTCTTGAAACTACTGTCATGTCACATTCTTCCTCATCATCCAAGTCTGTGATGTTCTCAAATACTTGTCTGATGATTTCATTTGATTCTTGCAATTCATCTTGATGACTTTCAATCAAGGTATTGGCCAGACTGATATCTTTGTCCGTAGCTTCTGTTAAGTCTATGAAGTTACTGATTGACTTGTCAGAGATTTGTTCGTGGGTACTTGTAGGTGATGCTGGATCATTTGAAGAGTTAGGTGCCTGATGCTTGCTTTCTTGTTCTCTTTTTCTACGTTTATGTTGACTTTGTTTTCTAATGAGACCACCATTTTACAGGAAATGGACAAGATTATGTAAGAAAATAAAATGATTTTTCATGTGAAGTGGAAAAATAAGTTTCCTCAACCACTATTTGATGGTGGCAAAATTTTGCTCAAAAATGGGACCGGGGCCACAGTGTT